GTACAAATGACCCTCAATCGTGAAAATGGATTGGAGTCATATTCATTAATTATCTTGATTATATTATTTAGATCCAAAGAAGGTCGAGGTAATTGACAGGTTTACCCAAGCCGTCAGCTCACATGGACTAAATTTAGTGAATGAGACAAGGAAAGCTCATGGTTATGCTAAAGGGTCGACTATGGATTTCCTTKTTCCAAATCAAGCAAATATAGAAGAAGTAAACCATTTCAATCACAGGCTTCAACAGGTGATAACTACTTATACAAGTGTTTTTCAGTAGCATTCAGGGCTTAAAATAATAGCCGGTCATGATGAATAGCCAAATTAGTTTTGGATCTGTCACATCTCGTTTCTGGCTCAACCTAATAATAATGATAATAATGGGAGGTTCTTATGTAGCGCATTTCAAATATCTSGATGYRYTTTACCTAACTGGTCAAAATGATTCAATGGCAAGTCAATGATTTAACTAACCAATTTTGGCCAGATAYTGTTCGATGACTGGGGGCTACAGTATTCTAAGACCTGACATTCCATGGAACATCCCACGAGGCACTTGTATTTTCAAGTATACATGTGTACACACAAGAAAATTCAAGTGACAAGTGGAATATTCCAGATGTGCTGCAAGTAAACATTCTATGACTATTAWATCCATTGAAAATATCTTGGCTTTATCAGTCAAAATATTCAAAACAACACTGACGGGTGAAATACCACCGAATACCCAACAGCTTTTGTGCATTCAGATTGGCTGTATTTTTAACTGTGTTGGATAAAACAGTGKCRTAACCAGGGATCTTGCAGGGGAGGTGCACAGGCAATGATTTGCAGGCAGAACCAAAAAAAAAAAAAATCTCCAAAAGAAAAAGCAGAACCATAAAACAAAAGCAACCAATAAAAAAAAACAGGACCAAAAAAAAAGACAAACAAAAAAACAAGGAAATAATGGGTGAGTGATTCTTAAAAATACTACAATATACAGATGAAAAGTGGTCTTCATAAATCAAAAATCATTTAAAGGCAATTTTAAAGCAAAAATAGATAGATGAGTGGACCTTAAACTTTTATGGTGGGGGGGGGGGGGGGGGCACGTGCACCCTGTGCTCCCCCCTGGTTACAGCCCTATAAAATATTATACATTATGGTACATGTACCTAATTAGCCAATCCTAATTTTCTAATTTTTTCTAATTTTCTAGGTTGGTTTTAATGACGGCTCTGGAATTGCTGAATCAGGGTTAGTAATGATGTTGCCTTATTGTGGTAATTATGTAGTTTGACAGTGAATGTTGGTTAAGTGTTGGCCTTGCCTTCACCAGCATTCTGCTTGTTGCCAACCAACATGTGTGTTGGCTTATTGTCGTAAACCATATGATTACCACAAATATTTTGCATATTGGTTATATTCAGTTGTGGCCAGGAATTTCTTTTATTCTAATGTATGAATCTAAATAACAATAATATGGATCTAATATGTCTTTTAGTTTGATGGACAGGGATTACCTTTCCTTCATATTCACTAGATTAACCTTAATGTTAACCATAACCATTTAACAAATAGACATCAGTTTTTATGTGTCTGTCCATTTTGTCATCACATTGTCAAAGTAGTGTGGATTCATGAGGAGTAGCCAAGCCATATTTGTTTTTTACGATAACAAAAACGATAAAAACTTCTCATTTTTAGTGATCAAAACAACCAACAGAAAGAGTGCGCGCTCGTTGATGTCAGCTTTATCTGTCTGTGCTCTTATTGATAATAAAAAATAACCAATCAGCAGCATGCGAGAAATTTGTAAGTTATTGTAAAAAATGGGATTAAAGACTTAACCATTACCATAACCCAGTTCACCAAGGCTGTAGTAGTTTCTTATCATTAGGTGTGCTGGTATTCATTTTGGTGATTCATTGGATTCAGTAAACTTTTAAAACCATAACTTTTTGTTTAAGACCATAACTATAGTTCAGTTATTATTATTATAGTTCAGTTCACCAATTCCAGCTAGGCTTTATTTTTAGTTTTTGTGCTGGTATCCAATCCATGCATGACATGATAAGATTAGTCTAATATTATATATACTCAATAACGATAACATATAGTTGTAGTCCCGGGAGGTGACTCCGGGAAAAAAGTACCAGGGATGCTTGTCGTATCTCTTAGGGATAAAAATTCGCGATTTGGTATCTCTTAAATGCGAATTTTTGAAAATCAGCATTTTCTGGTATCTCTTAGGGTGTCGGAAAAGAAAAGAAGGGCACAACGATATGGTTATCCTAGGCACTTTTTATAGGCCAGATGCCTATTGTAAGAAGAATAATTACTACTCAAGAAAACTTATTATTTGTTGTGGTATCTCTTAGAGGTTAAAAATCATTCAGCCACGCCCTTTTTTAAAGACTTTCGGTATCTTTTAGGGGTTTTTTTGAAAATTTCCGACAAGCATCCCTTGTACTTTTTTCCCGGAGTCCCCCCCCCAGGGTTGTAGTACTTTCTAAAATAAGTTTTATTAAATCCTACAAGGTTACAACCAGCCTTTCAAGAAAGGATTAGGAAATTTATTGCAACAAAGTCGGATTTGCTGTTTCAAATTAGAGGCAGAGAAGAGTTGAAGAGAGGAATTGATTATGGATTGGACAATAATCATGAAGGTACATTATCTCTATATCTAATTGGCACCCTTTTTATCCTTGTATATACTGTAATATTTTTAATATGCCATAAAGATTGGGTGTTGTACTGAGTATGTGCTGTGTAGAACTATAAAGCATTCCGGGATTGACAGAACATGAGAAAAGATGTGTTAGGAGAAGCACAACTTTTTTCGTGGAATACAAATTTGGTATATAATCACTAATTGGCTCACTATCACTCGCACACGCTACCACCACATTAAACTTAATATTCTATGCATACAACCTTTGACTTGCATTTTGATTTTTACAGACGGAGAAGAACCTGGAGAAAAACCTTGTGACAAGGGAGAGAAAGACACAATAAATAAACTCAACCCTCATATAATATAGCCAGAGCCAACTAGGGCTTGGGGGTGAACTGTGCAGAGGTGAGAAACAAGCACTACGCCACCCAACATGTCTCTCCAACATGTCTCAGTGTTCTKCCATTATTCCCAAGTGCTTTCTAAACTGCACACCTCACAGAAAGCAAGTTTTGCTTATGATATACAAATAACATTAGCCACTATTTTGAAAATTATTTCCAAAAATGGGGATGTATRTGTTGTGTGCTCTCATTAAGCATGAACCCACATTAACCAATCAGAAAGCAAGATTTATAACAGCTATTTTATCTTCCTGTAGTGTTGGATCTGTACAGTAAAGTTCCACCATTGGAAGTGTTTATGGGAATACCAGCACATKTCAAACGATGGCAACTCTTCAAGGTTGGTATAATAAATTATCATTAGTCTAAATGTGCTAAATAGTCTATCACAAACCTTGCACTATGATTGGCTGAGCTGCTAGTTGTCTATTTATGATAGGCCATTAGCATCAAAAAGAGCTGTTTTTGGAAACAGTGACTAACTGGGCAAGGTCGCACCTCTAAGAAGATCTAATCTACAGTGTAACCCAATTGGATGGATACAATAGGACAAGAAACAATATAAACAAAACAATAGGAACCAGTCGACAATAAAAACTATTGTTTGTTTTGGCCAACTGCGACCGTACTAGTGCCGATAGCTTTTCACAGTCATACAAAAACCGTTCGCATATACATGTATATATGCTGTACATGTACAGTAACTAAGGTTCAATTAATTGTTTTATCCCAGAATTTAGTTTTGCCGGACTTAAAGTTAATACAGTGTACATCTGCAGGATCCCCAACCCCCCTGTCAWCATTTGGACACCCTTCTCGACATTTGGATGCCCCCACACAAAAATTCCTTATCAGTCTGTCTGTGTTCATTACTCATGATCCTTCCTGTACTGTAATTAGCGAATGACTTTCAARAAGGAATTTGTTAAATCTAAATCTACAAAGCTTTTCGCTGTTGTATCACAGCGTGGGACAATCACAACAGAGCTAGGCTCCAAACTAGGTGAAAGCCCAAAGATCGAATTAGAACTTAGAAGTTGATTTTTGAGGAGGGAGGAAAACCGGAGAACCCGGAAAACCCTCGAAGCACAGGAGAGAACCAACAAACAAATCTACTCACATACGACATTGAGATCGGCAGGACCCGAACTCAGGCTGCATTGGTGAGAGGCGGCGCATTAGCAGCACACGCCACCGGTGCTTCCCTAAATAATCCTCAATGCTAAAAAAAAAATCAAAAAAATWATTATATCAACAGGTAATGAAAGAAGGAGATATTGTTCTTGGAGAAGTTGTTTCAAAAAGGCCCTTTGGAATATTCGTGAAGTTGACTGCTCTTGAATTCTCAAAAAGCAGGGATTTTACTGACACCAATATAGAGGTACTATTTTCACTATRATATGAAAAATACCACGGCATTTGAGAGTGCAGTATGTTAAAAGGTACAACTATAGAATACCCBGCAAGGAARAGTATTATAGTAGGCTGCCTACGCGCCTACGCTTTCGTTGGAGGAATAAACGATCGAGTACCTTGGGGTTAGGGTTAGGGTTAGGATTGGGGAAGGCTTTGTAGGAATAAATAAATGGTTCGTAGGTGGGTAGGCTGCATAGGCGCGTAGGTTGCGTAGGGGCATAGGCTGCGTAGGCTGAGTTGGCTGCATAGACAGAGAGATGCGATGAAAAATACACTGAGAATTCATATGAAGAATTAATCACCAAATAGGCCACGCACATTCCTTAGAAATGGCTTTCATTTGGTGGTGTATTCTATAGTTATTCCTGTTAAAAGCCCAGATATCCATCTACTGACAGTTGAAGAAATAGAAAATACATATTGTAGGTCTTGTGTGCAGTTATATAAAGCACACAGGGGTTGGCTGAAGACGAGAGAAATGTTTCAAATGTTTTTCAAATCCCCAAGTGCTTTATAACTCCAGTTTTTTATTTCTTTTATAAAATACAAATTAAAATAACAGTTATTTTGGATAGAAATGCATGATGCAACTGAAAGTGCGAGTATGTACTGGTGAAAGCACGCGCTCCCAACCAATCAGAACGCGAGATTTATAACAGCTATTTTATAATGATGATTATAGTTACTAACAACTAACTAAGGCTAACTATTACAGTCAAACAAGCTCACGTGTTGACCCCTAGATTCGATTAATGATTTGAATTTTCGAATGTTGATTTCATTATTCAGTTGAAATTTACAACGTCGAAAACGAAGATATGAAAATTCCAATCAACTTTAAATTCAATATACGACATTCTGATTGGTTAATCAGTGCTAACACAGCCGGAAAACCAAGTAAACATGGCGGCCAGAAATAGTCTTGGCCGTGTTCATGTGCCGGGAAGGCCTTTACCTGATATTATTCGACAGGAAATTGTTCATCTCAGCAATAACGGATTGTCCAATAAAGCAATTTCGTGACAACTGAAAATTTCTAGTTGGGGAGTCCAGAAAATACTTCAACATTATCGACGACAGGGAACTGTGTCTCCATTTCGCTCAAGGTGGGAGCGTTCCCTACAAAAGTTATCCTCCAAGTAATTGAGGCATGGAAATTACAAAACCTAGTGTGTATGCTTATGAAATAAGAGAGCGACTTCTGCTCGAAGGTATCTGTAATTTAGATGATTTACCTTCTTCATCACGAGTCGAATAATGAACTGAATTTTCATTTGAATATTGCAATATTGCATTATTCCGGTTCGTACGTATAAAAGGAATAATTGGCTAATGATTTCATTAATCGAATCTAGGGGTCAACGCGTGAGCTTGTTTGACTGTAAATATACATGTAGGGTCTTAGGGCCCCACTCATAGCGTTGATCAAATCTTGTTTCTCCCAAAACTTAACCAAGCTGAGCCTTCAGTGGATGAATGTTTTTGTTTCCAGGCATTGTGTAGGACTATTGATCTTTTTGATAAAGATGTACACAG